TAACAGAGCAAACCCAACATAAAAAACAAAAAATAGGTATATATTGCAAATTAGTTGAAACCATAGGTAAGAGCAGTGTTCTCTGTAAGATGCTCACTTGCGTGGCTGCGCACAAGAAATTCGGAGCCCGCCCACCCTTTTGCAGAGCTGAGGAGCAGCACTCACCTTCCTGGATTAGTGAGGTGGCTGCTCCCTTGGCCAGGGCCATATGGTGGGGCAGAGACGGGGATAGGGTTGCAGAGGGAGGTGGCTGCTCTGGCTGCCGCCAGGACTGAAGCTATGTTGGGAGGCAGCTGCTGCCAGGGATTGGGGCCATGGGGCTGGAGGGCAGCTGCTTCTGCAAGGAGTTGGGAAGGGGGAGTGGAAGGGGAGAGAGGGGCGCTAGCTGTATAACAGGGCAGAAGATGTATGTGTTTTAAATTGTTATGGAAGAAAGTCCCACTTGCTGTGCCGATGTATTAGCACCTGCCCCATCTTCTGCCCTGTTACACACTAACAATATCTATCTAAAAGTTTCAGAGGGGTAGCCAAGTTAGTCTGTAGCAGGAAAAACTTAAGTAGTAGTCTAGTAGGACTTTAAAGACTAACAAAACATGTGCCCACAAAAGCTCATGATACCATCTACATGTTTTATTTTTTGCTTTTTTTTTAAATGTATATACTGTTAATAATTGATGGATGCCATGGTAGCACATACCCAAACAAGCACATGTATTTATCAGTATTGATGCACAAGACAAAACTCACTCCACTCATGGATGGAAAACCTTAGAGGGAACACTGGTCATGAGCAGAACTGCCAAACACAACCCAACATAATTTGTTGGGGGAAGTCAACATGGTTTCTGTAAAGGGAAATCATGCCTCACCAATCTACTAGAATTCATTGAGGCGGTCAACAAAAGGACTAGGGATGTAAAATTCCATTTAACTGGCTAACCGGATAAACATATTGTTTAACCAATTAGAGGGGGCAAGTGTGTGCGGGGGGGGAAAGAGCACTTGAGCCGGGCTGGAAGGGCCCCTGCCTCCTGCCCCCACCCTCTATCCCACCAGATAACCTTAATCAGTAACAGGCTAAACCTTCACATCCCTAATGTAGACAAGGGGGATCCAGTGAATATTGTGTACTTAGATTTCCAGAAAGCCTTTGACAAGGTCCCTCGCCAAAGGCTCTTAAGCAAAGCAAGAAAGGTCCTCTCATGGACTGATAACTGGTTAAAAAATTAGAAACAAAGGGTCATTTTTCAGAATGGAGAGAGGTAACTAATTGTGTTTCACAATGGTCCATACTGGAATCAATCCTATTCAACATATTCATAAATGATCTGGAGAAAAGAACGGTTACTTACCTGTAACTGTTGTTCTTCGAGATGTGTTACTCACGTCCATTCGAATCAGTTGTGCGCACCGCGTCTCCGGAGCGTTTTCCCTAGCAGTACTCATAGTGCCGGCAGGACGCCCCCTGGAGTGGCGCCACTATGGCGGAGCATAAGTACCCCCTGCTGGTGCTCCCCTACCTCAGTTCCTACTTGCCGGATGCTCCGGACGAAGGGAAGGTGGGGGGAAAGTGGGGAAAATCGAATGGACATGAGCAACACATCTCGAAGAACAACAGTTACAGGTAAGTAACCATTCTTTTCTTCTTCAAGTGGTTGCTCATGTCCATTTTCATCTCGAAGAACAACAGTTACAGGTAAGTAACCGTTCTTTTCTTCTAGTGGTTGCTCATGTCCATTCAAATCAGGTGACTTCCAAGCCAACCCCACTTCACGGAGGAGGGGTCAGAGCACCCAGAAAGAGAAGTCCACAAAAGTTGAACAACCCAAACATATTTATTCAAGTAACAGAACACAGAACTGTTGAAAAAAGTGCAATGTGGTATAGAGAAACAAACACATTTACAACACGGAGCTGAGGACCGCAGAACCCAACCCTGCGTCCTCCCTGGCCTGCTGTGTCAGCGCATAGTACGCCGTAAAGGTATGCACTGACAACGTGGCCGCCCTGCAGATTTCAGTAATTGGAACCTGCGCCCCAAAAGCTACAGAGGACGCCTGCTCCCTGGTGAATGTGCTGTAACCCGGGGCGGGACCTTCCCGGCCAGGACATAACACTCCCTGATACACCCCGCGACCCAAACGGACAACCTCTGGGTAGAGATAGGGAGCTCTTTCATTCTGTCCGCGAAAGCAACCAACAGTTGTGTGGACTTACGAAAGGGTTTCGTTCTATCGACATAGAAGGCCAATGCCTGCCTAGCATCTAGGGAGTGGAGCACTTGCTCCCTAGGAGAGGCATGGGGCTTTGGAAAGAAAACCGGGGGGGGGGGGGGGGGGGAGCACCAGCTCCCCAATGCTAGGGTGGAGCCTTAAGCCTCAGGGGCTGGATTCAAGCAAGCTGGGGGCTGCATCCAGCCCCTGGGCCTTAGGTCCCCCACCCCCGCGCTTTGGCATGCGTTCCTATGAGCAACACAGAACCACCTGCTGTCCAGGGCTCCTTCCTCAGCTGTCTGTTCTGCAGCGCACTCGGGGAGGCCGTTCCTGCTGGCGGAGACTCCTGATCCAGCCACCCCCACACCAAGGAAGCGCCCTCTAAAACGCTGATGCGGCAAGGAAACAGGAGAATTAACCCATCTGAGTCCCCATTGGTCACGTCTTCCCTCACTTGGCTGCGCGTTATTCTGCTGAGGTGGTAACAAGCTCAGATGCCCTGCGAGCCGACATAATGGCTACAATGAACGCAACCTTCATAGAGAGGTGCTTTAAAGAGCATGTGGCCAGTGGCTCAAAGGAGGGCGACACAAGTCTAAACAACACGCCCTCTAGACAACACAAGGTTAAGGTCACAAGCGGGGAGAGGGGGTCTAACCGAGGGGTACAACTTATCCAAACCCTTAAGAAACCATAGAGGATGCCCGCAGGCCACAGCATGGTCATGGCATCTCCCCTGGAGTGGGCCCCCAGGCTCAACAGGGAGCAGTTACTCTGGCACTTGGTGTTGTGTGCTTAGGCAAACAGGTCTAAGGGACAACCCCACCTGTGGAAGACCTGATGATGAAGGGCCGAGTCCTAGAGGAACCATTCGTGGGCTCTAAAGGACCTGCTCAGAGCATCAGCCAGCAAATTTTTGCACCGTGGCAGGTATTCTGCCTGCAAAAATATATTGTGTGCTACACACAGGTCCCACAGCCACAAAGCCTTGCGACAGAGGGGAGGCGACCAGGCTCCCCCCTGCCTGTTGATGTAGAACACAGCCGCCATGTTGTCCAGGCGCACCAGGACGGAGCGGCACGACAGCTTTGTCAAGAAGGTCTTGCAAGCTCTCCTCACTACCCTGAGCTCCCAGACATTTATATGTAGGGCCTGCTCTACAGGGGACCACAAGCCCTGGGTCCTGTGACGCCCCAGGTGCGCTCCCTAACCCAGGTCTGAAGCGTCTGTGACCAGTGTCACCAAGGGGAGGGGAAGGGGAAGTACGGTAAATGGAACCCTGCTGCACACAACAGCCTCCTGAGTCCACCACTGTAAGGAGGCAATTACCGCTGGAGGCACCGTGAGAACCATGTCCCAGAGACCCCTGGACTAGTTGAACACCTTCACTAACCAGGCCTGCAGCGATCTGAGCCTCATTCGAGCATGGAGTACCACATAAGTGCATGCTTCCCTGTGTCCTAGCAGTCTCAAGCAGACTCAGGCAGTCGTAATTGGTTAACTCGGAGATCAGCTCCACTATGGCCAGAACTCTGTTCCTGGGGAGAAATGCTCTTGCCACCCTGGCGTCCAAGAGAGCCCCCACAAATTCTAGGCACTGAGAGGGAGTCAACAATAACTTTTCCTCATTCAGCATGAGACTGTGTCTTAAGAAGAGAGTCCTTGGTAAGGGAAACGTGAGCCACCACTTGTTCGTAGGCTCGACCACAAATTAGCCAGTCTAGGTACGGAAAGACGTGTACCCCCTTTTTGCAGAGGAACGCCGCTACGACCGACATGCATTTTGTGAAGACCCTGGGTGCTGTTGAAATTCCAAAAGGGAGCACCGTAAACTGGAAGTGACAGCGGGACACTATAAAGCGGAGAAACCTCCTGTGGCTGGGTCTTACTGCCAAATGGAAGTAAGTGTCCTTGAGATCGAGAGTTGCATACCAGCCTCCTAACTGTAATACCGGGATAACAGAGGCCAGGGTTACCATTCTGAATTTAGATTTCACTACCATCTTGTTGAGGTCCCTGAGATCTAGAATGGGACGAACCCCGCCCTTGGGTTTTGGGACAATAAAATACCGGGAATAAAACCCCTTATCCCTTAAGTGTGAAGGGACCCTCTCTACTGCTCCCTTTTGGAGGAGCGCTAAAACCTCCTGGTGGAGAATACCTTCGTGAGAGGTGTCCCTGAAAAGAGACAGGGCAGGCGGGTTGGAAAAGGGTGAACCCAGGAAAAGGATAGTATAGCCATCCCTGACTATTCTCAGAACCCAAGCGTCGGTGGTGATTTCTGCCCAGGCATGGGCAAATTGGGATAACCTAGCCCCAAACAGGGGGCCCGGGCGGGAAACTGGTGCGTAATGCTCTAGAGGACTGTCATAACGGGTGCTTGGACTGTTGAGGGGGGCCCTGACCAACCCCATGGTTGTCCCCTCTCAGTCGGCGACGAGGAGCTCTGGGCGAAGGTGGGGCCGCAGCCGCCCCCGCACACCCACTGGGAGCACGAGGATGGTGTCTCTAGTAATCCTCACGGGGGACCCGAGATTGCATTCTCCCCTGTTGTCTGTAGGGAAGCTGACGTCGCTGAGGAGCCGGCACGTGGATCCCCAAGGACTGGAGAGTGGACCTCGTGTCCTTGAGCATATGGAGCCTTGAGTCAGTATGCTTGGAGAACAACGCTTTGCCGTCAAAGGGCAGGTCCTGAACAGTCGTGGATCCCCAAGGACTGGAGAGTGGACCTCGTGTCCTTGAGCATATGGAGCCTTGAGTCAGTATGCTTGGAGAACAACGCTTTGCCGTCAAAGGGCAGGTCCTGAACAGTAGTCTGCACATCAGGAGGTATTCCAGACACCTGCAGCCAGGCACCACGATACATAACTACACCCGACGCCATGGTACGGGCTGCAGAATCAACAGCATCCAGGGAAGCCTGAAGAGCCGTGCGGGTGATAGTTCTGCCCTCTGTGGTCATAGCCCCAAACTCTTGATGCACCTCGGCGGGGAGTTTCATCTTTGAACTTATCCATCGCTTGCCATGTGTTATAGGCATATCGACTCAGCACTGCCTGCTGGTTAGCAATGCAGAGTTGCACCCCACCGGTGGCATACATCTTACGCCCCATTAAATCGAGGCGTTTGGGCTCCCTAGCCTTCGGGGACGGCCCCGGGACAGGCTAGGAATATAGGTGCTTGTACCCCTACTGTGGGACAGAATAGCGCCTCTCGACTCCCTTTAAGGTAGGGGTTAAGGAAGCCGGGGTCTGCCACAGGGCGTTAGTGATCTTAGCCACAGTTTTGTTGAGTGGCAAAGCCAAACGGGCGGGCGCATCGAACAGGATGTCTATCATCGGATCCGTGTCCTCTACTACTGGCTCCACTGGAACACCCAGGTTGGAGGCCAAATGCCGGAGCAAATCCTGATGCGACCGAGCAACCATGGTCGGCATTGCCAATGCGGGATCCACTAAGGCCTTATCAGGAGGAGACGATGACGACGACTCCTGAATCAGCACAGGATCCAGCATAGGGCCTGGTTGAGGAGCTGGCTGGACAGGCACCGCCATGTGCGGAAGTGGCTCTGGCACCAAAGCCTGCAGGTCTCTAGCAGTATCTATGGTAGCAGTCCTCTGGGGCGAGGGAAGGGGTCGAGACAGCGACGCTGACGGGGGCGCTTGGTGCCCGGAGACACTGGACACTGTGGACGGGGGCATAGGCCCTTGCCACTGATGGTATGCCCACGGTGTCCAAAAAGGCCAGTGTGGCTGAGGCAGCCAAGTCTGTTGCACATGCGAACGATCACGGCGGTGCCGGGAACGGGATCTATGCTGTCACAAAGCCCTCGAGGACCCCAATCTGAAAGAGCCCACATCCAAATCTGAAGAGTAATCAGTCACACTGTGGACGGGGGCATAGGCCCTTGCCACTGATGGTATGCCCACGGTGTCCAAAAAGGCCAGTGTGGCTGAGGCAGCCAAGTCTGTTGCACATGCGAACGATCACGGCGGTGCCGGGAACGGGATCTATGCTGTCACAAAGCCCTCGAGGACCCCAATCTGAAAGAGCCCACATCCAAATCTGAAGAGTAATCAGTCGGGCCAGGGGGCCTGACTGTGGTGCTGACACGGTGCACGTGGACTGCGGTGCCGAAGTCAGTGCCGGTTGTGAGCACGGAACTGCGGAGTCCAGCTGCCACGGAGATGGTGCCTCTATCAGTGCCGCCGTGGGCGCCATGGTGGGTAGGACTGAAGTCGCCGGAGCCGTGATGGCCGCCCTAGAAGGGATTGGTGTCACCAGCAATGGTGGTACCAGCATGGCCCACGGGGCCGATGCCAGTACTTGAATCGGTGCCAGTACTTGCAGCGGTGCTGAAGAAGCCAGTGCTGATGACTGTACCAGCACCCCAGGCAAGAGGCCCGGTGCCAGTACTGCTGACGGTGCCACGAGGCCTGAGTAGTACGGCACTGGCACAGCTAAGACCGGTTCCAGGAGAGGTCCCAGCACCGAGGGAGGTTGAGTCCAGTCGAGTGCCGGGTGAGGCCTGGCAGCCTGTGTACCATGGAGGGTGAGCCCTGGGAGGGTAGCCAAATTAGTCATCATATTGTATATACAGTTGGGATTATTTTTTCCAATATGCATTACTTTATATTTATCGAAATTTAATTTCATTTGCCATTTTGTTGCCCAATCACTTTATTTGGTGAGATCTTTTTGAAGCTCTTCGCAGTCTGCTTTGGTCTTAACTATCTTGAGCAGTTTGGTATCATCTGCAAATTTTGACACCTCACTGTTTACCCCTTTCTCAAGATCATCTATAAATAAGTTGAATAGGATGGGTCCCAGGACAGACCCTTGGGGGACCCCACTAGTTACCTCTCTCAGAAAACTTACCATTTACTCCACTCAACTTCAATCAAACCAGAACAGGAAGAAACTTAATCCTTAAAGTTAACTTACAAATACTAATGATAGCTATTTGTCCCCCAAATAAAGTTTTAGATTGACTGATGTTCCTCTGTTGCCACAATACTGCATGGAATTGAAGACTCAGGTTCATAAGTTTTACAACAGCATTACAAACTTCCATACAGAATAAAAATGCTGTGGCTTGCACAGATTTACAGGTGGCTGCTTTGGAAAGTATGCTGGACATAAAGCCATAAAAATGAATAAGCGAGTAGCTTCTATCATAGAGCTTATTTGCCCATCCCTCTCCCATGTAGGTTTTTACATTCATAGGATTTTAAAAGTCATAATTTTACCTATTTAAATCTGAAATTTCAGTGTGGTAATTGTAAGAGTCCTAACCCAAAAAGGAGTTGTGTGGGAGGAGGTCACAAGGTTATTGTGTGGAGAAGGGTTGCAGTACTTCTACCCTTACTTCTTGGTGGCACTGCCTCCATAGGTGGGCAGCTGGAGAGCACTGACTGCTGACTGGGAGCCCAGCTCTGAAGGTAGAGCTGCCACTAGTAGCACCTCAGAAGAATAGCATGGTGTGCTGCTGCCTGCACAGCTGGCCTTCAGTCAGCAGTAGGGCTGTTAAAGACTAGTTGACTATCCGATAAGCATTTGCTTAATGGGTAGTATTTTGACTAGTCGATATTTTCCCTCCCCCCTCCCAATTATAGAAAGAGGCAGCAAGGGGAGGGAGGAGGGATTAAGGGCCATTTTGAAACCCCAAAACTGCTGCTGTGCGGTGGGCTGTCTCTTTAAAATGCTGCCTCTGCGCATTTCAAAGGGGTAGTTGTCATGGAGCCTGGGGTCAGCTGGGTACTCTCAACTGACCCCGGGCTCCCTGTGGCATTTCCTTAGAACCCATGATCAGCTGCAGACTCCCCAGCTGACCCCGGGCTGCCAGCAGAATAGCATGGAGCCTGAGGTCAGCGGGAGACTGATTCTCCCGCTCACCCCAGGCTCCATGGCTTTGAAATGCACAAAAGCCCCCACTGGGGACTCTTGTGCATTTCAAATCAGGCACATGTGTGTAACCCAGAGTCAGCGGGACCCCCAACAGGCTCTTGAACATTTCAGAAGAGGAATGCGGAAGTGCCTATCGACTAGTCGATGGAATTTCCATCGACTAGTCAACTAACCGTATTTTAACATCCTTAGTCAGCAACAATCATTCTCTGGCCAACCATCCCTGAAGGCAGCAGCAGCACAGAGATAAGTGTGGCACCCTTATATCAGGGTGGGGAGGGGGAGAGGAGAGATGCTTCCTTCAGAGATTGACTGTCAGCCAGGTGTCCTTCTCCAGACACTCAACTCTGAGGATAGTGCAGAAGTAAGAGGTGACCCACCCCCCAAATAAACCTATAACCCCTCTGCAAGTCTCTTTTGGGTCAGGGCTCCTAGTTAAAGAAACACAAATCTCCCCCCATGAAATCTGTATAGTACAAGGCAGAAGCACACAAAAGACCAGATTTCACAGCATGGAAGAGAGGGGAGATAAGATTTCACAGTCTAAGATAGTTTTCATGGCCCTGAATTTGGTAGGACCCTATTTACAGATCTACTGCACACGCCAAGGTATTCCCACAGAAAAAGAACAATTCAACATATAAATACATTAACTGTATGCAGAGTTAATATTTCCTAATTTCAAAAAAAACCAAATACTAGTCGTTTAGAAAACAAAAGAAGAAATTGATTCTACCACATGAAAGTAAGAGGATCCTTAAGGTTTTCTATAACTATTCCCCCATGCCTACACCCTTCCCAACCAACAGGATCAAGAAAAATAGAAAAAAAAAGTGTAATTAATCAGAAACTAAATCCTTGCATGGCAAGACAGTAAATAAATATTTCCACATATTTTTATTTATCACATAAGAAGAGTACAAGTACTTTCTTTCATCCTGAAGACAAACTTGATATAAAACAGGATTTGTACTCTTCGCTCATAACAGCAGGCAAAGATGTTAAAAACCAGTCAATCTTAAGACCGTTATGCAAAACCCTCTATAACCTCAGCTTAAAAAAAATTGTGCCTATAACTTGTGTATTTTGAGGAGAAAGTCAGGAACAATTCACTTTTTTCTTAAACTACAGTTCCACTGTAAAATGAGATCTACATCATTTTTAAGGGCAAAATTTAAACCATGTAAAGGTTTTTTTGCAGCAAGTAAAAATAACTGAGCAGCTAGTTAGATATTTTTTTTTTTTTTGAGGGGAGGCCAAACCACGGCTTGTGGGCTGCACGTGGCTCTTTTAGAGTTAATGTGTAGTTTGAGGAACATCCCTTACCACTAGTTGTCTACCTACCAGACTAGGGAAGGAGCTCAGGACTAGGGATGCTAAAATGAGTTTATTTTTGTAAATGTGTAACCACTGAAAATTTCAAAAGTTACACGTGGGGGGGGGGGGGGAACCGGCCCAGGGAGCCAGATTTTAAGCAGCAGCAACGCATGGGGTGGGTAGCTCCTGCTTCTCCCCCACTCCCTGATGCTGCCCCTGTATGAGAAGCAGCAGAATGGGGGAAGGGGGCTGTGTAACCATGAAGGTTAACCGATGAGCTCATATATATTCACATCCCTAACCAGGTCTTTGCCTGCAATGGGAGGTGAGGTCGGGGTGTCTGCCGGACTATAGGCCCACAGGGCACACCTGCCAGAGGCTTCAGCAAGAGCGGGGCTGAAGGTCCCACTTCTTAAACTTCTGAAGATTGTCATAGGCAGCTTGGACAGTCAGTAAGTTTGGCCACCCGGATACATGCCATTTCTAGAAATGAGAGATGTCATAATGCTAATATCAAGGAATTAAGGCCAAGTAGCAAGCAAGACATCAAAATCATGTTATAGGAAAAGCTTCATTTTGCATCTTTCTGCCCCATGTAACACCAGTGTTTACATTTATGTAATCAATTTTTTGTTAGGGCAGAATCTTCCATTTGGGAATTGAAATGGAAAATTCATTATCTAGAACCAGATAAACAATGATCAACAGCGAGATTTACTTAGTGCCAATTCAACAACTTGAGAGGCAAAATAATAAAGCATGCTATTATTATGTTTTAGAGGGAGTAGGCAAGACGCCAAGAGAAAGAAGATCAGT